TCACTTTGGTTTAGGGTGATTTAAATGCATTGCTCAAATGAGGCGACTCCTGTGCTTTCTGCTGAGCCCTAGCTTAAATGCCTTCCACTACCCAAGCAGAGATCTCATTCTTGGCTCTTAGGGGTGGAGTAGGGAAGACAGGACACCCCACCTTCACCTCCAGCTCTGGTCCTTCCCCTATCCCCGCCGTGACCTCAGGGACGCTGACAGGGTTCTGCTGTCTCCCCTCCTCTCAGATTTGCAGCCCCTCCTTGGGTCTCAACACCCACATTAGCCAAGGATACTGGTTTGATGAATGAGTCTTGTCCACCCACAGCCCTGCACAGGTGAGTGACTGAGGCCCAGGGTCTACAGTTTGGGGGTGGAGGTCGCCCCATGTTCCTAGGTAGAAAGAAACGTGTGTCTGATTTTTCCGGAGGGAGGGGCTCACTGCCAAGCTTGGCGGGGAACTGAGGCTCAGAGGTCACCCGCCAAGCCTGGGGCCAGCGGGAGGGGGACAGGCCTGGCTGGTGGCCCAGCAGCTCGGCTGGGGGGCGCGGGAGGCAGAGGTTGGCGATGTCGGAAGCCAAAGGTTTGGCCTCCCCGAGGGAGCCGCTTTCCCGGCCCGGGTCGGATCAATGGGCTGTAATTATACCGCGCCGGGCCCGGAGCCGGCGGGGTGGGAGCGGGAGCTGGCAGGAGGGACGCGCGGGCGGGGGCGCTGGCTGCCAGGACCCACGTTACTTTGATTGACAGCCCGCGCCGGCGCCGCGCGCGAGCTGCTGGGACTTGTAGTCCTTTCTGAGAACCTCTGCTTGTATCTGCTCTGCAGCGTGCACTAGGGAGACTGAGGCACGCAGTCACGCGCCTCCACCTCCCACCTCCATGGGTACCCATCCTTCCCCCATCTGATCTCCTGAGGACAAAACTGAGCCCATGCAGGAGCCTCGGTAAGAGCCATGGCTCTTCCTTGAGCGTCCAGCGACTTTACTTCGCTTGTCTCAGTTTACCTATCTGCAAAATAGGGCGAAAGGCTCATTGTCTGCCCTGGAGGCTGGCCAGGCTTTGGTAAGATAGCAAAGGGCTCTTGTTTTTAAGGGGAGACCCGCTAGACATAGGGGATGGGTCACTTCGTCTGTTTGTGGACAATGATAGAGCCAGCGTCCCCCTCCCCTCCAGCAGAGCTGAACATCCACGAGGGTCTCCGCTTTGCTCTGGGAGGGGGAGCAGCGCTCTCCATACCACGCAGGGAGCCCCTATTCGCCTTCCTATTGGTTCAGCTGAGCCCACGGCCTCCTACTATTGGTTGCTGGCATCCTGATCCCTATTGGCCAATGCCCATTGTGACGTCACGGACCCATGTGGGAGCACCGCAAGAGGATTGGCTGGCACACTCAGCCAACCACCGCGGAGAAAGGAATTTCTACAGTAGCTGGGGCGGTGAGGCTGATTTAAGGTGGTCTGAGCAATCCGGGGTCCCAGCGCTGCTTCTCAGCTTTTTACTTTTTTTTTTTTTTTTTTAAACCCACATCCACATCATAAAAACTGAGCCAGGAACCAGGGGCTGAGCTCTTCTGTAGACTGGGAGGAAAGAGAGATTGGAAGAAGCTAAGCCCCTTTCTCCACTTTTCATCCCCTTCCCCAATTTTGCAAATGGGGAAACTGAGCCCCAGAGACGTGGTGCATAAACTATGAGTTGGCATGGGGACGTGTTCTCGCTGGCATGAATAGATTGTGCTAGATTCTGCCCAGGCTGTTAACTCTCGCTTGGCGCCTGGCGGCTCTTTTCCCTGCTTCCTGCTCTGGCCGGATGTGCATTTCGGGGGCTTTAGGCTGTCTGAGGGTCCCCTAGTATCTCAGGGCTGTTGTCAGTTGTCCCCCTCCCCATCCCACCCGCTGCTCCCAAAGCTGGGGGGAAAAAAGGGAAACAAATATCTGCATTCTCCTTCCTGGCAGCTCACACACACAGGGTGTGTGTGTGTGTGTGGTCTTGTGGCTTCCCAGGCAATCCACAAATCTGTATTTACCCTCCCCGTGGAGTGTGCCTGGCCGAGGGAGCCAAAGGCTGCCGGGTCAAGACCCCCTCCTCCAGGAACCCTCCTCCCAGGGCACCTTCAGCCGTGAGTTCCTCTTTTTGTCCTGGCAGCGACTTTCTGGGCTTTCCCCCCTCACTCACCATGGAAGCCCTTTCCTGGCAAGGCGTGAAGCTGGGTCCTTCCCAGGGTCCCAGCATCCTGGGGCCTTGAAAGGGATGGGCTTTCTCCCTGAGCAAAAGGAGGAGGAGGGAATTCCAGGAAAAGATAAGAAAAGGCCTGAGGTGGGAAAGACACAAAATAGGTAATCTAGCCATTGTGGCTGGGGAGGTTGTGGGGGGTGGGGAGCAGGATGTGAACTGGTGGCACTGGCTGGGTCAAAAGGTGCAGGTTTCCTGGATGGGCTGAAGCAATGGGAACATGTCCCCAGGGCAATAGGGAGCCAAGAGAGAGTTTAAAGAAAGAGGGCCAGACTGCAATTGCAGGTTAGTAGAGGAGTGCAGCTCAGAGGGAAAAGATGGTTTGTGGTCCACTGGAGAGAGGAGAAGGGGCTGGGGGGGGGGGGTCAAACCAGCAGGGTAAAGCCACCAGGTTCTAAGAGTGTCAGGAAGGCTGGTCTATCCAAGCAGAGCCTGGAGATGAGGATCTAGAAAGAGCCTTGAAGCTGGGCACTGGTAGCTCACACCTGTAATCCTAGCTACTTGGGATGCTGAGATCAGGAGGATCAAGGTTCAAGGCCAGCCTGGGCAAATAGTTCACAACACTCCATCACCAAAATAACCAGAGCAAATTGGACTGGAGGTGTGGCTCAAGCAGTGGAATACCTGCTTTGCAATTGTGAAGCCCTGAGTTCAAACCCCAGTCCCACCAAAAAAGAAAAAAAAAGAGGCCCTGAGTGTGAGAAGTTCGTGACTTTGGCAAGAGAAGGCTCAGAGAAGTTATGGGATTGGAGGGGGCAGATGACTAGGGTTATCACTATTTGCACTCCAGGGAGGAGAGATGTTGGGGTGTCAGGTTTGGAATCAGCACTTCCCTGACCCCAAGAACCACAAATTTGGCATTGTGGAATTCTGTGCAGAAAACCCCGTTTCTTAGATTTTCCATGTAAAGAGTGTGGCCTGTGATTTCTGGCTTTAGCCAGAGAAGCCATTACCTGTTCAAGTTTTGAGTAAGGCCCGGCAGGGACCAAGATAGGCTCAATCCCTACTCAGATGGGGAAGGAGACAAATGGAATAGGACAACCTGCAAAGAAACTATTATTTAAAAAACAAAACCACTGTGATAGAAAGGAACTAGGAGGAGAAACAGAAGAGGATGGTTTGAGAATGACATGATGGGGGTGGGCCAGAGTTGCCTAAAAGGGTGACCAAGACTGGATGATGAGAAACAAGGGAAGAGAGTTCCAAATCGAGGGAAAAGCATGTGCAAAGGCCCTGAGGCCACACTGTGTCCATGGTAGACCGAGTGAAGTCCACAGGTAAAGAATTAGGGATGGTGGAGGGAAGAAGGGGGTGGCAGTGTTTAGTATGAGCCTTGTAGGAAGAGAGGGAAGTCTGGATTTTAATTTTCTTTTAGTGCTGGGAATGGAACCCAGGGCCTCATGCATGCTACCTAGGCAAGTGCTCTAACCATGAACTCCAACCTCAGCCCTGGATTTGATTTCTGTGACAATAGGCAGCCACTGAGTACTCCAGCACACATGCACAACCCCACAGTCTCTCTTCCTCTCCTTCCCATGACTGCTGGCCTGGATCCTCAAGTTTTGTCTCCAATGTCAACCTTCCCAAAGTGTCCTCTCCCAGACACACAAGATGAGTGGGTCTCCTTTTGTAAGTCTCCATCACTGCTCCCTTAAATTCTTTCTTTGTACACTAAATAATTGTATGACCACCAAGCAGTGAACTTGGCTGGTCTCTGGCCTGATGGGAGAGGGCTGGGAAGTGTTCCACAGCCATCCTGGTACCCAGGTGCCTGGAGCCATGCCTGGGAAGAAGGTGCTCAGGAAATACATGCCCTGGGAGAAACGATGCCTGTGTGTTTGGTAAGGGTCTTGTACCCTTTAGCTGACTTACCTACCTATAGAAGTCCAACCATCAGCACATGGGTTCCCCCCTACTTTCTTCCCCACTCTGCTCCAGTGCCTAGAACTGTCTGATCTATAGTAGGCCCTTCAGTGTCTGTTGATTGACTTAACAAAGGACTGACTGTGGTTTCTCATATGCAAGGACTCCTCTGTCCCAAGTGATCCGAGGGATGCTCACTGGAGACTCTCTGAAGGGGGACAGAGTCTCAGCCCTGGGAAGAAAGACTTCAGTCTGATGGCAGAGCTGTGATTCTCCATGCTCAGTGGGACATGGCCCAGAGAGGAGATGGGGCAGTCTGCAGGTGGTGGCGTCTGCAGCACCAGCTCCCATGTCAAGTGTGCTGAGTCTGGCCGGGCTTGGGCTCCATCTCATTTAAACACCGCCCTCACCCACGCCATTCACAGTGACTGCCGAGGCCGAGAGAGGGGGGACGAGGGGTGGCCTGAGCTGGGAAGCAGAGGTTGGCTCTGTCCCCAGCCTTGTCCCTTCCCTGGCAGGTGGCCCTGCTTGCGCTTGGCAAAGCTGCTTCCTCCTGACCCTTCAATCCGTGCCCAATGTCAATGACTCGGAAAAGCCATTTCTGACCCCCACATGGGTCCCCTCTCTTCCAAGCTACTCCCCGCAGAGCGCATCGAGGTGTTTATTTGCTAACTTGTGTTTCTCTTGCAGGGGGGTGGTGGAGGTGGTGGGGACACCAGGACTGGACGCGAGCCTCAGTTTCCCCGCTAGTCAAGGGTGCAAGGGAGAGGGTGGGTTGGGGGGGCGCGGAGGCGGGGGCGCGCGCGGGGGCGGGGGGGGGGCGGCGGCGCCACCTTAAGGCGGCTCAGCCCGCGGCTCCCGGCCGAGCCCCGCCGGAGGGAGGCGGCTCCGCGCGGGTCCGCCGCCCGCGCCGCCGCACCGAACCGGGGCCGCGGCCGCCGACCTTCTGCTCGGGCTGCGGCCGCCTCGCCGCGCCGCGCCCCGCGCCTGCGCCTCCCGGGGCGGGGAGGGGGCTGCGCGCCCCCCGCAGGTCCCCGCGATCCCTAGCGCGCTCGCTCAGGGGGCGACGGGGACTCCAGGGTCCCCTGCCCCGCGCCTTCCTCTTTCTTTGGGCCAAATTCCTGCAGCCCCAGCTTCTCCCCCTTCCCATACTGTCAACGCTCTCGTGGCGCTGGGGGGGCTTCTCAGATCGGCAGGATGTACCCCCAAGGAAGGCACCCGGTGAGTGGGGACCCCGAGCTGCAGGGGAGGAGAAGGGGGTCCCCCTGTCCCAGCGTCCCGGGAACTCAGATCCTGATGTCGCCCCCCCCTCCCCCGCCACAATGCCTCCCCCCAGCAGACCCCGCTTCAGTCCGGCCAGCCCTTTAAGTTCTCGATCTTGGAGATCTGCGACCGCATTAAAGAAGAATTCCAGTTTCTTCAGGCTCAGTACCACAGGTGAGGGGGCGCGGGGGCGCCCCGCCCCGAGCGCACCTGGAGGCCGGGGAGGGGGCGGGGCAACGGGCGGGGCCTGCGGGGGAGGGGAGAGGTTCCCTGGGGGTGGGGAGGGGAGGGGAGGGGAGGGCAGGGAGGGACTTCCCTGTGGAGACTCTGGCGAGCTGGGGTCAAGGACCTTGGTGTGGAGTGTTTTGAGCCCTGGAAGGGGCGAGCGGGAGGTTTATAAGGAAATGGGGAGGGCGAGGCCCAGCCTGTCACTTGGGGAACTGTCCCATGTGAGACGTGGGTACCGCATGTCCTCTCTCCTGTCCAGTCTCAAGCTAGAATGTGAGAAGCTGGCGAGTGAGAAAACGGAGATGCAGAGACACTATGTCATGGTGAGGGTCAGGAGAGCGGGGTGGGGGAGCGGGAAGAAGGGCTTGGCTGTGGGGTGTCCCTTCTCAGTCTGCCTGTCCTGCTCTGAGCCTTAGCTTACTTGCCCGAAAACTGGGCTGGCTGGGATTCTAGGCTTTCTTTCCATGTCCCCCCAAGCCCTCCCCGCCTGGGGACATCTCTGGGGGGCTGGGGTCTCTGGGGGAGAGCATAGAGGGTCCTCCTACAGATGCCCTGACTCCCCTACGGGCTCTGCTTCTGAACTCCGTGGGGCTGGGGACTCTGTCTTGCTGTGAGTCCCCCAGCCTGGGAGCTCTTGGAAGAGCACAGGTCACCAGCTGTCTACCTGCCGGTGTTCCCAGCTTGGGTTTCCTTTGTAGTACTATGAGATGTCCTACGGGCTCAACATCGAAATGCACAAGCAGGTACGGTACTTGTGCTTGGAGGGCCGGGGGTCTCTAGGGAGGGTGGGGTCTTACCTTGAAATCTCTGTAGAGGTTCCCAAGGGTCAGTCTGGTAACAGGGAGATTCCAGCTTCTGGGAGCAGTGGCCTGCACCCAGAGCTGGCAGAGAGGCAGTGACTGGTGCCTACCAAGGGAGAGGCACAGAGAAGGAGGTGGACACCCACAGAAAGGCTGTGGAAGCAACTTCTGTCCCAGGAGGAGGCTGGATGGACAGTCTTGGAGGTCATTTTTGGCCCAGAGAGTCTGAGTTTTGAGATGGACCACAAGATTCTATTGCTATTTGGAAGGTTCTGAGATAGATCACAGAGTTCTGTTTCTGTCCTCAGGGCTCTGAGATTGACCCCAAGACCGTGAGGCTCTGAGGCTTTTCCTTGGCTTCTGAGTGTGATCAAAGCCATTTCGAGATAGATGGCAAGGTTCTGAGATAGACCAAAAGGTTCTGAGGCGATACTCAGGCTCTGAGATTGACTCCAATGATAAGATGTCAGGCGCAAGGTTTGGAGACTGACCTGTGTGTGCTGAGATGCCCCACAAGGTTCTGAGGCTGTCTCCAAACCTCTGAGTGTGGTGGCAAGGTTTTGAGATAAACCAGAAGGTTCCAAAATTGACGCCAGGGGTCCAGGGTTAACCCTGAAGGGGATGGAGAAATTCTGACCTGGACACAGATGAATTCTTAGTTGTCCCCATCAGAATAATAGAATAACGGCAGAGCCTCGGGCTGAGGCCTGAGGCTTCCTGGGGCCGGGAAGAAAAAGGCAGTGGCCAGGGGTGTGGGGGTGCCTCGCCTGGCTTACATTCCTGGATATGTGTGAGCAGGCAGGGGGCTGGTCGGCCTGGAGTGTGGCATGGTCCCATGGGCACAGGCGATAGACCCTCCCTTATGGGGTGGAGGACACTGGGCAGAACCCAGGCCCTGGGAGCCTGGTTACACCCTCCTAGTGGAGGACAGGGGACACCCTGACCCTGCCAGAGCTCGGAATGCACCTGTAACTCAGGGAGAGGCTTTACTCAGTCCTTCATCACACACAGCTTCTGCTGTGCCTCTGTGATCGCCCGGTGCCCTGAGTGTCCGTGTCTGCAACTGCCTCCTGTGGACCTGTGAGAATCGTGTGTCCCTCAGGGTCTCTGACATGCAGGACCCCAGCCTTGGTCATTTGGGCTCCAGGCCTCCCAGGGCATCCCAGTGACGACCCCCTCAGCCTGTGTCTCACTGCCCTTAGTTTCCCACATCTCAGTATATCTGGGGTAAGGGCAGGGGCTGAGGGTCACTGTCCTTCTCCAATTGTTGGCTCTCATTGCTTCCTGCTAGGCTGAAATTGTAAAACGACTCAGCGGGATCTGTGCTCAAATTATCCCTTTCCTCACCCAGGAGGTGAGTGGGCCTGGGACGGGAGCTGTGTAGCTGGAGGCGGGCACAGCAGGGTGGGGGGAGATGTTGGCTGGGGGTGAGGATTACACTTTTCCCTCTTAATGGGTAACAAGGGGTAGAGCTGACCATTTCAGTTCAGGAACACAAACCCTGGCTGTGTGGCCTTAGGTAAGATGTGTGCCTCTCTGTGCTTACTTTCTTACCAGTGTGGTCACGACATTTAATGAGTTACAGAGATGTCAGGTGCTCACTCAGGGCCAAATAAGGGATCATTTTTACACGGTGCTCAATGAAATTTTCAGAGCAGACACAGAGGACACACACTACAGGACACCACTCATAGGAGGTCCCTAGAGTCACAGAGCCACAGAGGCAGGAAGTAGGATGCTGGTGCCAGGAGCGGGAAGGGGAGGGGAGGCGGTGTTGATGGGGACAGAGCTTCAGCTTGGGGAGATGGAAGGTTCTAGAGATAGACAGTGGGGATGGCAGCACAGCCATGTGAGTGTGCTCAACGCTGCTGAGCTGTGCATTAAAATGGTTAACATAGTACATTTTGTTATGCATAATAACAGAAAGCACAATAAGTTTTAAAAAGAAGGAACTAGCCCAGGTAATAACTAGTATGACCAGTTTATTGAAATTGGGAAGATAAAAGTTAGTCCTCCTGGGAATACCCTTGCTAGCCTCAGGACCTTTGCACTGGCTGCCCCTATTTCTATCAGGACCATTCTGTCTCCAGACAGAGATAAGGACAGGTTCCACCTAAGAGAGGATACAAGCGAGAGGGCCCTCAGTGCAGACACTCAACGTGGCTTAGCTCCTGTCCTCGGAGTCTGAGGTTTCTAGAAGCTTGAGACCGAGAGATCTGGTCTAGACACCAGATACAGAAATGGTGTCTGGGGCTGGGGCTGGCGGAGTGGCTCAAGTGGTAGATTGTCCACCTAGCAAGCTCGAGGCACTGAGTTCAAACTCCAGTACCACCAAAAAAAAAAAAAAAAAAAGAGGGGGAAAATGGTGTCTAAAGCCAAAAGTGGGGTACTCTTGCAGTACTGGGGTTTGAACTCACCACCAGCCACTCCACCAGCCCTTTTTTGTGAAGGGTTTTTTGAGATAGGGTCTCCAGAACTATTTGCCCAGCTGGCTTTGAACCTTGATCCTCCTGATCTCTGCCTCCTGAGTAGCTAGGATTGCAGGTGTGAGCCTCCAGCACCCGGCTTAACAGTGACTCTTTACTGGGGACCTGTGTAGCTGTCATGACTGGTGTGACAGGATGGAGGCCTGGGACACCACTCAGCACCTGAAGGGCCCAGGACACCCCACAGAGAACTGTCCAGTCCCAGATGGTCGCAGCACCCAGGCGGAGGGACCTTGATTTGTCATCATTAGTTAGACCTGCACGCCTGTGTTTGGTTCTTTTTCTGTGTGCTAATTTCATTAAGAAAAGAAAGGGGGGCCAGGGGGATCACTCAAGGGTAGAGCACTTGCCTCCGTGTGCAAGCTGTGGCTTCCATCCCAGCTTTGCCAAAAAGAGAGGGGAATGGGGGGGTGACTCAAGTAATAGAGCATCTGCCTAGCAAGCACAAGATCTTGAGTTCAAATCCCAGTACTGCCAAAAAAAAAAAAAAACCCAAAAAGGTTTAAAAAGAGAGAAAGGAAACAAAAAGAGACAGGGAGGGCAGGAGGGAGGGAAAGAGAGAGAGAGAACCAGGCCAGAGCACGGTGGAGAGCCTGTTGCTGGGGCCACAGAACAGAGTGCACGAACTGGGACCCATCTACCCTGTGTCCCACCTACCAGCACCAGCAGCAGGTGCTCCAGGCGGTGGAGCGAGCCAAGCAAGTGACCGTGGGGGAGCTGAACAGCCTCATTGGGGTGAGTGCTCTTCGCCCCTGCCCTGACTTGGGGACATTCCTGCCCGCAGGCACCTAGCATCCAGCAGGTGCTAAACTGGGTGTGGCGGGTGGGACTTCGTGACCTAGGCTGTGCTGGGTACCCTCTGTCACATCTGTCACTGCTGGGGGCCAGGGACACTGCTGGTGCCCGTCCTGCCTTCCCTGGCCCATCCTTCCTCCCCTCTAGCAGCAGCAGCTCCAGCCACTATCACACCACGCCCCCCCTGTGCCCCTCACCCCTCGCCCGGCTGGGCTGGTGGGCAGCAGTGCCACCGGGCTGCTCGCCCTGTCTGGAGCACTGGCTGCGCAGGCCCAGCTAGCAGCAGCTTCAAAGGAGGATCGCACAGGTGTAGAGGCCGAGGGGTCCAGAGGTGAGCTGGTGGTTCCAGGTAGCATTGGCAGGGGGCCTGGGGGGTGGGTGAGTGCAAGGAGTGAATGACAGGAGCTGCACAGTGGCAGGACTCAACTATATCCCCAGTGCTGTGTGTCTTTGGGGAACTCACTAGCCCTCTCTGGGCATCTAACTGAATGTGGCAGGGGATATGGAAGGATAAGAGAGGTTCTGAGCTAAAAGAAGGGTTTATAAACTGTGGAGGGCTGTACCCTCCAGCACCATGGACTACAAAACCCTCATTCTTTCTTCTCTCTCCCTGCCTCCCATCGTCTGCCAGTGGAGAGAGCCTGAGCAGGGTAAGTTGAGGCCTGGGAAGTTGGTTTGTAGTCACTTGGGGTGGAGGAAGCTGGGTGCTCTGACTGTAAGGGGCTCACATTCTGATTTTTGGTTTTTGGTGGTACTGGGGCTTGAACTCAAGGCCAGCACTTGAGCCACTCCACCAGCCCTTTTTGTGATGGGTTGTTTTTTGTTTTTGTTTTTTTTTTTTTTTTGAGACAGGGTCTTGTGACCTGTTTGCTGGACTGGCTTGGAACTGCAGTCCTCCTGATCTCTGCCTCTTGAGTAGCTAGGATTACAGGCATGAGCCACGATGTCCGGCTCACATTCTGATTTTTAACTGTGTGGCTGTAGAGTTTTCTGTGAGGAAGGCTGGAGTTTTATTTATTTAAAATTCTCAGTGCTCAGCTGTTTTCTCTTGGGTGACTGAGAGAATGGCTGCAGCCGTGCTCTGGTCCTCTCCATCCTCCCTTGCAGGGCTTCCTACCTGACCTATAGCAGGGCTGTCCAGCAGAAATTCAGTGCGAGTGGTGTGTGTAATTTTTTTTAAGGAATGGTTTAATGTTCCTATAACTCTAGATGCACAGGAGGTTGCAAAACAAAAGAAAAAAGTAAGGGGAGGCACCGTGTGTCCCTGGCCTGGCGTCCCCCGCTGTTTGCACCTTGTTTAGTTGTAGGCAGGGGCGAGCTCAGACAGGAGTGCGTGGGCCGCGTGTGTTCCTCTGCGCATGCGCGGGTCTGCAAGCGGGTCCCCTTCACAGTTTAACCATGTGTAGAGCTTTGCCTAATCACCGCATTCTCGCATGTCATTTTCAATTTTCTAGTAGCCACCTTAAAAAAAAAAAAAAAAAGAAAATTGGCAGAGGCTCAGGGGCAGAGCCCGTGGGTTCCATCCCCAGCACTGCAAAAAAAAAAAAAAAAAAAAAGTGAAATTAATTTCAGCAAAATGTTTTAGGAAGGTGCAGTGACCACACGTGGCATCTCAGCTACTCAGGAGGCAGAGATTGGGAAGATCACTGTTGAAGGCCATGGGGGAGAGTGTTAGTGAGACCCCATCACAACCAGTAAGCTGGGTGTTGTGGTGCAGGCCTCTCATCCCAGCTGTAATGGAAGGCATAGGTAGAAGGATCACAGTCCAAGCTGGCATTGGTAAAAATTTGAGACCCTATCTCAAAAAACTACCCAAGGCAAAACAGGCCAGGTGGGGTGGCTCAAGTGGTAGGGTACCTGCATAGCAAGCGTGAGGCCCTCAGTTCAAACCCCAGTACCGCTAAAACAAAGAACAAAAAAATGTAAGCTATATTACATTCTTTTCATCTCCAAGATCTGAGTGTGTTTTGCACTTAACCCCATTTCATTTTAAGCTTGCCTGGCTGGGGCTTGCTGGTAAACAGGAAGCAATTAACCAATGAAAACCTGAGCTCCACCCCAACACACGCACACACCCATGTCCAGGTCGCAGCTTGTGTCTGTTGCTCCTTTCCCAATGGTTTCACAGAGGCCTGTCTGGCTCTCTGCTTGCCTTCTACTGAGGTAGTCATTGCTGTCCTGGATGTCCTCACGTCTCAGGGAGCACGTTCCTTCGAGTGCAATTTCAGAGCAAAGACCTTTGAGAAAGGTTGCCAGTGGCCAACTTTTTTTTTTTTCCACAGCACTGGAATTTGAACTCAGGGCCTGGCACTTGCTAGGCAGGCACTCCTACCACTTGAGCCACTCCACCAGCCCTTTTTGCGTTTTTTTCAAATAGGGTCTCAGTAATTTGCCAGGGCTAGCCCGGGACTGCAATCCTCCTACCTTCACCTACTGAGTAGCTGGAATTAGTCATACTGTACCACACCCAGCCTCTTTGGTTGGTCTGGTGCACGGGATGGTAGCCTGGGTCTCAGGCATACTAAGCATATGCGTGTTACAAACATAGTTATCCACAGGACGGCCTGGGAGACCCTAATTCCTGGGGAGGGAAGGAATGAGGGAATAGTGAAGGATTACTTACTTATTTATTATTATTATTACTATTACTATTATTATCTCTTGGTACTCACGTTTGAACTCAGTCCTTTTTTTGTGAAGGGTTTTCAAGATAGAGTCTGGCAAACTATTTGCCCGGGCTGGCTTAGAACCATGATCCTCCTGATCTCTGCCTCCTAAGTAGCTGGGATTACAGGCGTGAGCCACTGGCGCCCAGTCTTATTATTATTCTTATTGTTTGGGGGTTACACTGTGACATTTACAAAAGTTCTTACACTATAGCACAGTTGAATTCACCCCCTCCATCATTCTCCTTTATTCCTCCTCCCCTAACAGTGGGTCTCAAATGCACGATCTGCCCCCAGGGGACTTTTGACAATGCCTGGAGGCATTTTTGGTTCCCATGACTTGGGGTTTGTCTGTGAACCCCTAATATTGAGTGAGTGGAGACTCACGGCTCAACACTGGCAGTGCCCAGGGCTCCCACTACAAAGAACGTCAGTACCGCTGAGTGGTTGTATGTGTTTCTTTTTGCACACACAATAAAACAGATTTGCCGGGTGCTAAGGCTCCCTCCTGTAATCCTAGCTACTCAGGAGGCAGAGATCAGGAGGACTGTGGTTCAAAGCCAGCCTGGGAAAATAGTTCTGGAGACCCTATCTCAGAAACACCCATCACAGAAAAAGGGCTGGTGGAGTGGCTCAAGGTGAAGGGCCTGAGTTCAAGCCCTAGTACTGCCAATAACACAAACAAACAAACCAAACCAGACTGTTCTCTGGAGCCAACAGTAGGGTTCACTGTGTGTAGCACAAGCTTGGTACTACCTCAGTGACCATACCTCAGTATCATTGAGCAACCATGGTATAGATGAGGAAGCAGACACACAGAGAGGTGCAAGGACTTGCCCAAGGTCACACAGCAAGTGAGAAGCCATGCTGGGTGTCAGCCCAGGTCAACCGCCTCTCTATATAGGATTTTTTTATTGTTCTGTTTTTTAGCCAGGGTCTCTCTGTAGCCCAGGCTGGCATGAAACTCTCTATCCTCCTGCCTCACCCTCCTGAATGCTAGGATTATGGGCATGCACCACGATACCTGGCTTGGGGAGTACTCTTGTACAAGTCAGAGACTGAGTCTCAGAGAAGCATAAAAGCTGCCTGAGGGTCACAGAGGGCTGACCCCAATGGTGGTTTTTATGCCAGCAGCTTTTGCCGTGGCCCTACTAGGGATTCTTGACTTCTGTGCTCAAAGACTGGGTCCTGCCACTTGGTGGGTGGTTTTGGCTCTGCCTTTCTATGGGTCTCAGTCTCCCTGTGTGTGCAGTGCCACTCATCATTACCCAGAAGCTTGCTGTGGGATGGAGAATTTAGCATTGGGGCTGGGGTGTGCCTCAGTGATAGAGTGCTCACTTAGCACAAGGACCTGGGTTCCATTCCCAGCACCAGAAAAGAAAGTAAGAGAGGAAAAAGTGGAGGAGGGGAGGAAGGAAGGAAGGAAGGAAAGAAGGAAAGAAAGGAAAGGAAAGGAGGCAAGACTTTGTCACCTGTCTTCCCTGGGAAGGTCCCATTTGCCAGACAGGAAGCTTTAAGGAACAGATCCTAATAACGGCTATGGGCCCTCAGCCTCTGCTGGACTGAATGCAATATGGGATCCTAGGGCCCTGACCCTTCCTCCTCGCCCGGCTGGTCTCTCTGCAGAGTGCATCCCCCTCGCCCCCTGAGAGTCTGGTGGAGGAGGAGCAGCGGCCCAGTGGCCCAGGAGGCAACGGGAAGCAGAGAGCAGAGGACAAGGAACTGTCAGGACCTTATGTAAGTGGGGCACAAGTGGATCAGTCTCCAGCCTGCCCTCTAGGCAGGGTTAGAGTCCAGCCCTGTCCATGACCCTCACTCTAGCACCTTGCATAGCTCCCCATTGCTCGTGGAACCCTGGTCAATCAGAAGAGACCCTGTGCTGCCTGGCTTTATTCTTCACTTGCTCCATTTTCTTTAGCTTCTGGTCATGCAGTCATTTGGATTTTTCTTTCTCTAATGCTCAGTGGCAGAGCTCTTCTCTCATATGTGCAAGGCTGTGAGTTCATCCCTAGCTCTGAAAAAAAAAAAAAAAAAAGGAAAAGAAAAAGAAAAGGAAAAAAGGAAGGCAAATAAATCACCTCCTTGGACCTCCTCTTCATTCCCCAAATGCAGTCCAACATATCGATGTCTGATCCACCTGCAGTCCCTTACCAGCATACCCAGGACTGTGCTTCGTGCATCTGTGAATAGACAGTGGAGTTTAGTTTTTCTCTCAAGGGCAATAGGGAGCCATAGAAGGATATAGAACAGAGGTGGAGATAGGTCTTAGGAAAATCTCCCTGGGGCCAGTGAGGAAGGCTGCCCGGAGAGGGCAGGACTGGAGCCCAAGGACGGGCTGGGAGAGGAGATGTGTTTAGACATGGCTGATAGGTTGATTGGCTTTGTAGAAGTGGGGAAGAAAGCAAGGAGAACTCTAGTCTCTGGTTCTGCCCTCCCCACACAGAGGACTAAACTGAGGCTGGCACAGGACTCTCATTTAGCTCTCCTTTGCCCTTTGCACGAGGGACCCCCGTCACTCTCTGGGGACTGTGTCATCAGCCTTGCCTTCTGACCCACACATGGGCCTCAGTGGTCTGAGGATCCCAATTGCACAGCGCGGGGTTGGGTGGGGGGAGTTGTGGCGTGAGGCAAGGGCATGACCAGGGCAGCTCCCCCTGCCCCATGTCCCCTCAGGAAAGTGACGAGGACAAGAGCGACTACAACCTGGTGGTGGATGAGGTGAGTCTGGGATCCAGCTTCCCCTGCCCCCGGCACAGAGCAAGGAGGGGAGAGGGGTTTCTGGGTAGGGGGCACAGGAGGAGTGAACTCCTGTCCCCTCTCTATGACATGGCTGGGAGGGGGACAACGTGGGTTCAGGAAGAGTGGGGGACACCAGGCTACCTCATTAGGACAGTTGGAGAAACTGAGACCCAGAGAAGACTAGGAATGGTCAGCAGCACTGGCTTTCATCCTTGGCTTGCTGAGACACCTGCTTCCTTGGCCTCAGTTTCCCCCATCTGTCCAGCGGGGAAAGTAAGGCAAGGTCCTTACGTAGCTGTTGCTCACAGAGTGGGTCAGACACACTTCAGACTGAGGCACTGGGACGTCTCATCGGTCTCCCCAAGATGGTCCCAAGTCCCCAGGCTAGAGGCCGACATGGGAAGAGTACAGACAAGATCTGTCTCTTCTCTCACATCACCCCTGCTCAACGCCACCTCTTGAACCCAGGACCAGCCCTCGGAGCCCCCAAGCCCGGCTCCCACACCCTGTGGAAAGACACCCATCTGTGTCCCTGCCCGGAGGGATGTCGTGGATAGTCCAGCCTCCTTGGCTTCCAGCCTGGGTTCACCGCTCCCCAGAGGCAAGGAGCTTGTCCTGGTAAGGAAGGCAGGGGGAGTCTTGAAACATTCATCCTGGGGGCCCTGGAAACAGACATGATACAGTGAGAAATCAGCTAGGCTGGTGCCTGTAAATTTTGTCTTGATTCTCTTGCCCCTTAATCTTTCCTGTACTTTGTTGCAACTCAGTAACTATTAGAAAGGCAAGTTTGTAACTAAGCTTAGAAAATAAAGGGGAGGCAACTCACTGCCTTACCTGGAAAGCAAGTATCTCTTGCATTACATAGAAGCAAACACAAGGAGACTAATACAGACAAAGCCCTAGTGGGAACTGGCAACCAGCAAGGCTGGACTTTAGACCTGCAGGTCTTGAGACCTAGGAGCCAATCTGACATGTCTCCTAGGTCCCCGTGGTTATTTTGTCTCGCTTTTTTGTTTGAGGGGGAGGAAGGGGGCACTGGGGTTTGAACTTAGGGCTTATGCTGGCTAGGCAGGCACTCTAGCGCTTAAACCATGCCCCCCAGCCCTAAGGGTAGCTCTTTTTCCTTCTGTGTTGCTCCTGTCCCCCACCCAACCCTGGCTGGGGACAGAAGCAAGGTCTTCATGTCGCTGAGCAAATGCTCTACCACATGGGCACTCTATTTGAGCCACACCTCCAGTCCATTTGCTCTGGTTATTTTGGAAGATGGGGTCTAGAGAACTATTTGCCCAGGCTGGCCTTGAACTGTGATTCTCCCTATCTCAGCCTCCCAAGTAGCTGGGATTACAGGTGTGAGCCACTGCGCCTGGTTTATGTCTTGGTTTTAATGCCAGGTGCATCACCAGTCCAAAAGCAGTGCCTGGGTGCTGGCAGAGCGGCTCAAGCAATGAGTGCCTGCCTCGCAAGCATGAGGCCCCGAGTTCAAACCCCAGTGCTGCCAAATAAATAAATAAAAGCACCCCCTGGGCAGTGGCAATTCAGACTTCTGCCCTACACTTAACTGGGGATGTCATCTGTTTCTAGGCCTCCCTTCCCAGCAGGTTGCCATGGCAACTGCCAGAGGTTAGGACTCAGACTCTAGCTTTTTTATTTTTGGGTTTTTGAGACAGGGCCTCACTGTGTAGTCCAGGCTGGCTACACGGTGGTCCTCCTACCTCCACCTGTGAATGCTGGGATTACAGGTGGGTGCCACCACATGGGGATTAAGCCTCTATTTTAAGAGCCCTCCTCCAGCCCACTCCAGGAAGATCTCGCAGGGGTAAGGCAGCTCTATTCCGCTGGAGAAGCCCTCAGAGTCCTCCCTGACCCTGCTGGGGTCCCATCTACTCCCTTGCTGTCTCCCTGTGTGTGACTGCAGGAAGACGGTGGCACCCAAGATGAGGCTATAAAGTGTTTTAAAGGCAGAGGAGACCAGGCCAAGAAGCTTCAATAATAGAGGCTGCTCCTGGGTGCAGCTTCTCCTTAAAGTCCCCCCTGGGGAGGGACAGCTGTGGTTGACCTGCTCTTCCCATGGGGAACAAGCATTCTACCAGGTGCTGGATTCCTTTGAGTGGGAGCACCTCATCTGCCTCCCCCTTCATGAGCCTGCCCCAGTGGATCCAATTGCTTGTCCCTCGAGGAGCCTGGCAACCTCTTTCTTGCCTTGTTTTGGTGGCATTTCAGTGTCCCCTTGCTCCTGTGCAGTGTGCCCTTTGCAGGTCTGTCATGAGCTATCCAGTTCATACCCATGTTGCTGACAGTGCACACGCTGGTACCTTACCATGTGTGTCCCTTCTCTCTGGCATGTGTGTGTGATCGAGGGCAGACCCCGTGTGCCCACCAGCTCTGGTACCCACCTGCCCTTCCACTGGTGTGTGCAGACCTGAACCTCCTGAGCGCTGGCTGGCTGCAGGCGTCTCCACTCCCTTCTCCCATCCAGTTTCTAAGCAGCTACTTAGGCCACAGGGTTTCCAATGCCTGGTGGCCTTCAGTCTGGCCTCTGTCCACAGAACGACCTTCCTGCTGGCACTCCAGCCTCGAAGTCCTGTGACTCCTCCCCGCCCCAGGATGCATCCACCCCCGGGCCCAGTTCAGCCAGTCACCTGTGTCAGCTGGTGGCCAAGCCAGCGCCGTCCACGGACAGCATCGGTGAGCCCCTGCACCCCTGAGCGTGTCTCCTTCCTGGAGGTTTCCAGAAAATGGTGGGGAGAGACAGCCGGTGCAGATTCCAGCCCTAGAATTCATCACCTCTGGCCTGTTCATGACTCCAAGCTGCCTCACTCTGGGCCTCAGTTTCCTTATTGTCTCTGCTTCACAGGTAGGGAAACTGAGGCCCAGAGAATCAAATTGACTTCCTCTGTCTGATACACTGGAAAAACAAGCTCAGGCTTTAAGTCAGTCTTGTCCATTCACCAGCTGTGTGGCCTTGGGCTAGTGACCTAACTTCTCTGAGCTGGTTTCCTGGTCACTAATCTGAGGGATGATAAAGCTCAGCTTCTTCCATCTTATTGCCAGGCCCTGTGCTGATTCTGTGGCCCCTGAAAGAAGTTGGCCTTGGGACTTGCCCTCAAGGAGCTCCCAGGTGGTTGGGGGAGCTTGGGGGGATGGAGAGCCTCAAGTATGTTCTTAAGATATTGAAGGGTACTGGGTCTGGGTTTTGAAGGATGAGTAAGAGTTCACCAATTGAAGGAAATGGAAAGCCATGTCAGCCAAAGGAACATAATGTGTGGAGGTCTGGAGGTGTCCTTGGGTGTGGCCAACATGTAACTGGAGTGTAGAAACTATGGGAGGCTGAATTGGGGTTCAGGGTGTCTGAAGACCTGTCCTGCCCTTTCTCGATCAGCTCTGAGGAGCCCCCTGACTCTGTCCAGCCCCTTCACCACATCCTTCAGCCTGGGCTCCCACAGCACCCTCAATGGGGACCTCTCTATGCCCAGCTCCTACGTCAGTCTCCACCTGTCCCCCCAGGTCAGCAGCTCTGTGGTGTATGGACGCTCCCCCATGGTAAGTCCTCAGGGTGGGGGCACCGAGAAGTGTTGGGGTTAGGGGAGAAAGGAGCTCCACAGGAGAGGAAAAGGATTCTGACTTGGCAAGTGTACGTGGGAAGATGATCTGAGGGTCTCAGATAACTTGGGGTTCCCAGCAGAGTTCCTGGAGAGAAAACAACAAAGCTTATGTCACTGGTTATCAGTGGGGTAGATTCTGCCCCCGGGAGACGTTCATTGATGTCTTAATCCAAATCAGAATCTGTGGCTGTGGACTGAGCAGCTGTGATTAAGCTGCATTAAGAGCTCAGTGCTGGCCAGGCACTGGTGGCTCAGGCCTGTAATCCTAGTTACTTGGGAGGCACAAATCAGGAGGATCATGGTTCGAGGCCAGCCTGGGCAAAAAGCAAGACCCTATCTCAAAAAAAAAAAAACCCAACATGCACACACACACACAAAAGACTGGTGGAATGACTCAAATGGTAGAGTGCTGGCCTAGAGAGCGTGAGGTTTTTTACTGTTTAAAAAAAAAAAAAAAGATCAGTGCCAAGGACTGGGCTTGTGGCTAAGTGGTTATTTCCAAAATCAAGGAGTGTGCTGGATTTGTCCTGGGGACTGAGGTTTTGCAGACTCCTACCTAGAGGAAGTCTGAGCATTGAATTTTTATTGGTGTTGTTGGTAATGGAATTTGAACACAGGGTCTCACACTTGTTGGGCAGGTGCTCTACCAGTTGAACCCCTCCACCAGCCCTGCTGGTGTAAGGACCCATCCAAACCTGGGGTTGTAGGACTCGCTGAACAGACATTCTGGTCCCCTAAGTGAAAACTTCAGCTCTCCTGTTTCCTGGCAGAGGCTGGTAGACAGATCAAGGTTCCTCTGATAAGCTTGAGAGGGGCAGTGAGCCTGCTAGAGAGCACAGGTGGCGGGGGGGTCACCTGCCCTGGGAGATCCTCTGTCATTTTTACAGATAGCATTTGAATCCCACCCCCATCTCCGAGGGTCGTCCATCTCCTCCTCCCTGCCCAGCATCCCCGGGGGAAAGCCGTAAGTATCAGGACGGGGTTCCACACTTTGGGTCACTGCCGTCTCATCTCCTCTGAGGCCCTTCATTATGTAGGCTGGAGCTTGGGGTCCCCATCCCTCATAGCCTTCCAGAAAGACCCTTCTATAAGATAATTGGGGGCTCCCAGCAGAGTTCCTGGAGAGAAAACAGCAAGCTTATGTTCCTGTCTGGGGACATGTGTGGCTGTCATGACTGGGAAGCTCCTGGCCTGAAGTGGGTGGAGGCCAGGGACCCGCTCAGTACCCTGCAGGACCCAGGACGCCCCAAACCAGAGACCAAGTGGGCTCCAGTATCTCTAGAACTGTCTGCAATGATGGCAGTATTTCAGATCTGCCCTAATGTGGCCAGTGCAATCTACCTGCTTTGGGGGTTGGGGGGCGTCTTCACGAATCCTGTGTCCAACACATATGTGAAGTGAGCACTTACGGTGCCTGGCCACCACCTGGACCCCAAGATCTCCTTACCACCTCGCCACCTTAGCCCCTGGCGCCACCTGGGAGGCAGGCTGGAGGAGGTGAGCAGGCCGTGGCTCAGCCCCCCTCCGCGCAGGGCCTACTCCTTCCACGTGTCCGCCGATGGCCAGATGCAGCCGGTGCCCTTCCCCTCGGATGCCCTGGTGGGCGCGGGCATCCCGCGACACGCGCGGCAGGTGCACACGCTGGCGCACGGCGAGGTGGTCTGCGCCGTCACCATCAGCGGCTCCACGCAGCACGTGTACACGGGCGGCAAGGGCTGCGTGAAGGTGTGGGACGTGGGCCAGCCCGGCACCAAGACGCCTGTGGCGCAGCTGGACTGCCTGGTGAGGAGGGGCGGGGCCCACAGCAAGGGGTGGGGCTTGTGGTGAACCAGGGCGGGTCCTTCAGGTCAACCCGTGGTAGAGTTTATGAGCCAACCAGGTGTAAGGGGCGGAGCTAAGTGAAATCAGGGTGCAACTAGTGACCAAAGGGGGCGTGGTTACAATATAACTGGGGTGGAGCTTACAGTAAAGTAAGGCCAAGGAGAGGCTTACAAACCAATCGGGGTGGGGCTTGTAGCCCTATGGGGCGGGGCTTAGAATGGAAACAGGGGCGGGGCTTGGAGTGGAAATAGGGGCGGGGCTCATGGACTGAGGAGGAGGGGTTACAGTAAAACTAGGGCAAGATTTGCAAGCCAATTGGGTGAGGCATGCAGCCCTAAGGGGCGGGGCTTGCAGGCCAAGGGGGCGGGGCTACGAAGCTGGGCAGATGCGACCTTGCATGGGTCTCCTGGAGCCTTGGCCAGGACCAACCCCAGCCCTTGCTTGCGTCCCTTGTCCGACCCCAGAACCGGGACAACTACATTCGCTCGTGCAAGCTGCTGCCGGATGGCCGGAGTCTGATCGTGGGTGGCGAGGCCAGCACGTTGTCCATTTGGGACCTGGCAGCGCCCACTCCCCGCATCAAGGCTGAGCTGACCTCCTCGGCTCCAGCCTGCTATGCTCTGGCGGTCAGCCCCGACGCCAAGGTCTGCTTCTCCTGCTGCAGCGACGGCAACATCGTGGTGTGGGACCTGCAGAACCAGACCATGGTCAGGTGCGTGGGGCCTGTGTGCTGTGGGGTGGGGTGCTGGAGCAGCCGGACTCCAGGGTGGACGTCCAGCCCTTCTCTCTCTCCAGGCAGTTCCAGGGCCACACGGATGGGGCGAGTTGCATCGACATATCTGACTATGGCACTCGGCTGTGGACAGGGGGCCTGGACAACACCGTTCGCTGCTGGGACCTGCGGGAGGGCCGCCAGCTGCAGCAGCACGACTTCAGCTCCCAGGTGCTGCCTGCTGGGGTCTGGCGGGAGGAGGAATCCAGCCTTTCCTCTTCTCTCGAGGTGCCCCCTTCCAGATGCAGGGCAGACCTAAATACCTGCTGACTGAGTCCCTCATTTTAGTCTTCCAGACGAATGCACAGGCCCTGCCCTTTAATTCTCAAAAGATGCAGGCAGATACAAAAGGCCCGATTCGCATTAACACCTGACGCTACCCAGACCCTCAGATTGCCCTCTCACATTCTTGTGTCCCCCAGCCTTCAGCCTCTGACTCCTCTGAGGACTCACCCAGGCAGGCTGCTGGCCTGGGGGGTCAGGAGGAGGCTGATGAAGGATAGGAGCTGGGTGTGGTGTGGTCCCCACTGATGGTACCATGGGAATTCTGGCTGCAGGATGTGGAAGCACGGCTCTTAAGGGTAGAACAAAGAGTCAAGGTCTTCATGTACCATGGACAGGTGCTTTGGGGGCAGGGTGCAAGCTCCTGAGCCTGCCAACCAGGATGTCTACTAGCTATTCTCACACACACCATACTTTAAGATACCTTGAGACTTCTGCACATACAGTTCTTTGGGCCGAATGTTTTTCCCAAATGGTGAACTCCTACACATCCTTTAAGACCCATCCACCATTTGCCCTCCTCTCTCCTTGAAATCTGAGAGCCAGCTGTCTCCCAAGCACTTCTCTGGTTTGGCCTTGAAGATTTCTTTGACAGAGATATCAGAGGTGCAGGTGGCCATTGCTGGTTCATTCCTTGTCCCCTTGTGCATATTTCTGGGGATTCCATGGGGATTATCTGCTATCCACTTTATATGGGATCATTTCTCTGCAGCCAGAGAGTCACATTTGAAGCCTTCTGATATTCTCAGCTGTAAATTCCTGGTAATTTACACACGCGCGCACACACACACACACACACACATCTCGTGTGTCAGCACAACTTGGAGAGGTTTTTGTGGGACAGGACCTCATTGCTCTGGGTGATTAGGATGGAGTTCATCATAGAAAGATGAGAACTCTGTGTCCTTTGAAATCAAAACAAAACAGAATCCTTGGCATGTGGGCGGGCTCCAAGCTGAGTCTCAGCAGTCTGGGATCCTGGTGTGCTCTATAACAGACTTGCTGTGACTTTGAGTCTGCTCCGTGACCTTGAGCCTGCGCTGCCTCAGCTTCCACCATCTGCTTAAGGGGAGCGATGGTCCCTGCCTGGCTGCTTCTCCTCCCTCCCTCCCTGCTTCCAGAGCCGTCGTGCATCCCAGCAGATAATGGATGTGCACCCCGGGGTTCTGTGTAATTCTGATTAATATTAATGATTCAACACGCAGTGGCCTGCTGTGTTCCCAGCCCCCCGGCCAGCTGCCTCTCTCCGTGGGGGCTGGAGTGGGAGAACGTGGGGTGCAGCTACCGCTGGTTCTCAGCACCCCTCCGCCCGCCCCCAGCACCGGAAGAGGTCCGGGATCCTGGCTCTTCCCTCTTTCCCTAGATTTTCTCCCTGGGCCACTGCCCCAACCAGGACTGGCTGGCTGTAGGCATGGAGAGCAGCAACGTGGAGATCCTGCACGTGCGCAAGCCGGAAAAGTACCAGCTGCACCTCCACGAAAGCTGTGTGCTCTCGCTCAAGTTCGCCTCCTGCGGTACGGCCTCCTCCCTGCCCTCCTCCCCGGGACTCCTCCTGGAGCCTCTTCCCAGGGCCAGTGGCTGTAACTGTCTCGCTTGCCCCACCAACCAAGGGTCTGGTGAAATTTAGATCTTAGATGAATATCAAGTGATTTGTTAGTATTGTTGTGTCCCAAATATAGTGAGATATGCTTGTACTAAAAAGTAAGTAAGGCCGGGTGGGGTGGTACACATCTGTAATCCCAGCACTTGGGAGGCAGAGGCAGGAGGATGGAGAGTTCAAGGCCAGCCTGGGCTACATAGCAAGTTCAAGGACAGTCTGAGCTAATTTGTGAGACTTGTCTTAAAAAAAAACCCCAAAAAACAAAAAGTAAAAAAAATAGCCAGGTATGGTGGCTCATGTCTGTAATCCCACTACTCAGGAAGCAGAGATCAAGAGGACCGAAATTCAAGGCCAACCGGGGCAAACAGCAAGAGCCTCATCTCAACCAATAAAAAGTCAGGTGTATAACTGGGCACTGTGGCTCATGCCTGTAGTCCCAGCTACTCAGGAGGCAGAGATCAGGAGGATCCCTCATTTGAAGCCAGCCCTGGGCAAATAGTTTGTGAGACCCTATCTTGAAAAAAAACCCATCACAAAAAAAGGGCTGGTGGAGTGGCTCAAGGTGTAGGCCCTGAGTTCAAGCCCCAATACCAAAAAGAAAAAAAAGCAGAGGTGGCGCAAGCCTGCCATCCCAGCTACTGGGTAGCCTACATAGGAGGATCAAGGTGTAGGCCTGGGCGTAAATGAGAGAACCCTATTGGAAAAATAACTGAAGCACCTGAGTGCCGGTAGCCCTCGTCTTGTGATCCTAGCTGCTTGGGAGGCTGAGATCAGAAGGATCGAAGTTCCAGGCCAAGTGAGGCAAAAATAACCAGAGTAAAATGAGCTGGAGATGGCTCAAGCAGTAGAGCTCCCGCTTTGCAAGTGCGAAGCCCTGAGTTCAGAGTTCAAGCCCCAATCCCACCAAAACAAAGAAAAAGAAATGGTAGAGAGCCTGCCTAGCAAGTGAGGGGCCCTGAGTTCTAACTCCAGCACCACCTGAATAAATAACAAATAATGACATAGTCAAGTATGTCTCAGTTATTGCCTGGGACTTACTTATCTAAAAATCAAACAGGGAAATACCTGCAAATATTATTTGCGGCTTTTCTGCGAATTGGGGTAGCCAGATGTCCTGTTTGATCTGGTCACCCTCTCCTGGGGACTCCCTCATCTTGAGGGCTGGGGCCCCACAGACCATGCTGTGTGGGACATGGGGGAGGGCTGAGCCTCACAGCTCTCAGGGGCTGGTGACCCCCAGCTCTGGGCTCCCCTGGGTCCTTCGATCTTCAGTTCACTGTCCTCCGCTCCAGGGCGCTGGTTTGTGAGCACAGGCAAGGACAATCTTCTCAACGCCTGGAGGACTCCATATGGGGCCAGCATCTTCCAGGTACGGGCAGCACCTGGAGTTCACGCTCTTGGCTGCATGCCACGGGCCCAAGTCACCAGGGTGGCTGCACTGGGGTCAGTTAAAGGGAGTGCCTGCCCTGTCCCCATCCTGACACAGCTGCAGTGCCAGTCTCCCTGGGCCACCACCCCCTCCCCAGGGCCTTGCAGGCCTCCCACACCATCCAGCTGCTAAAGCAGGACTGGTGGACTTCAGCCACGGCCACATTTGTCTGTAGCCACCTTTTTTGGTTTTTTTTGGTTGTGGCAAAATACATAAATGTTACCATTCTGATCATTTTAAAGGAACAGCTCTGTGCATTAATACATTTGAGTTATTGGGCAGCCGTTCCCACAGTCCACCTCCAGAACATTCCCTCACCCCAAAAGGAAGCCCTGTCATCACAAGCAGTCATCCATCCCCTCCCCAGCCTCTGACAAGTCCACTTCCTGTCCCTTGATCCTGTTTCGGGACGTTTCCTGTCAATGGAGTCACAGGCTGTGTGCTTGTGTGTCTGCTCCTCTTACTGAGCACCGTGTCCTCAAGGTCCTTCCCACACTGTGACATGGGTCAGCGCCTCGTCCTGTTCATGGCTGAGTAATATTCCAGTGTGGATGGACCCTGCTGTGTCCACCCGTCCATCTGTGGACACTGGGCTGTCTGTTCTTTGGCTACTATGAAATCTATTGCTATGAATATCTGAAGGCAAGTTTTCCTAGGGACATGTTTTCATTTTTCTTGGGCAGCTGCCTTGGACTGCAATTACTGATAAATTGGACTGTTTTCCAAATTTTACATTCCCACCAGCAATCGAGGACGATTTCACAATTCTCCATGTTCTCACCAGCACTATTATTGTCTTTCTGTTGTATTCCCATCCTAGTGGCTGTGGAATAGATTTTACATTTTTAAAGGGTTGTAAAACAAAAAACCCCAGAATATTTGACACATTTATTTAGACTTTAGGCAAAGCACTAAAAATATTCACTGTTGGAGATCAGAGTGGTAGTGTACATCAGCAAGCTGGGGCAGGAGGATTGGGAGCGCCAGACCAGCCTAGGCTACATAGCAAGTTGGAGGCCAGTTTGGAATGCATTGCAAAACCCTGTCTCACTCCTCCATAAAATATTCATTGATGGGCTCTTTACAAAGTTTGTTGGCCCCAGCTATAGGGCACACTGTGAGGGCATACTGTGCTGTGTGACTTTATGCTTGGTGCATACCGTCTCTGAGCTACTCAGGAAAGAACCAGTGCTTCAGTTCCATCTCTTAGTGTTGAGACAAAAGGCCCTGCCTTTGCCAGGAGCATGCCACCTGCCCATAAAGGCTCATCTCCAAAACATAGATGCTCCAAAGCTTGTCCCACAGTTTTTGAATATTGTACTGAAAGCAAAAAGCAGAATGGTTGTATGGGTTTATTTTTGCACCATCATTAGTTGAGCCCGTCAGATTACCTGTACCTATCTCTAGAAAATGTTGTCTTCCTTCCCCCACTAGGACAGTCCTGCCTTGACGACACAGCCATCCCCAGGGGTGCATTTGGGCACCACAGGCACCGATTCCCTCCAGGTGGTCAGGAGCCAGGAACCGTATCTGCCACCCCTCGCCTCACTTCTTTTTCTTTCTCTCCTCCCTCCCCCACTGGCAGTCCAAGGAGTCCTCCTCTGTTTTGAGCTGTGACATCTCCAAGAATAACAAATACATCGTGACAGGCTCCGGGGACAAGAAAGCCACAGTCTACGAGGTGGTCTACTGAGGCTGCCACCTCCTGTGCCCCTGTGTGGCCATGTGGGAGTGGCTTTCAGGACAGACCTCCAGGTCCCCTCTCCGGCCCCTTCAGCTGTCAGGCTCCTTCAGTGCTGGGGGGGGGCTGCTGGGCAGGAGCCCGGGAATAAACACTTGCCACACCTGCCTTTGGCCTCGGCTGGGCAATGGCGGTCACTTCCTGGTGTGACTGCAGGTAACGGAGCAAATGTGTGGGCTGGGTTTGAACTCAGGGGCTCTACCCACTCGAGCCATTCCAGCAGCAAGAAGTACCTCTGTACGGGACACAGGTGTCCATCCAGTGTGTGCAAGGCCACCAGGATGAGAAAGAGGCCATGTGCACACCCCAGGGCTCAGCGGTTAAACATAGGGACCATCTTCTAAAGAGGAAAGGTTTATTTTGGCTCAGTTTTGGAGGTTCTAGCTGTTAAGGAGCAGGGAAGTGTCAGGAACGTTCTAGAGGGAGTTTGGTGGGGGGTGCTGCTGGACACAGCACAGGCAGGAAGGCCACACTTCCCTGGGTTAAGGGGACATGGAGACATCTGCAGGGCCCCTCCCAGGCTGGGAAGGGGACACTGTCACGTGCTGGCATAGATTTTAACTGTGGGCCGGGTCTTTCTGGTGAGGGAGAGGGGTCCTGAGCCCTGCAGCTGCTGAGCAGTGTCCCTGCCTCCATCCTCTCTAGGCCAGGAGCTCCCCCAGGGGGACAAAGTCACCCACCCTGAGAGCCATTTGTCCCTTAGTATCTTAGGACACCTTGGGAAGGACCTGGTTCTCCCACCCCCACCCCCCATGCACGGGAAGCCATTCAGATCCCTTCCAAATGTGGGGACCACAGGAAAAGGAGACTAGGCCACTTCAGAGCCACTGGGATGCAAGAGGTCCTCCCCAGTTTCAGTGAGGTGGCCCCAGGGCAGGTGGGGCAGACTGTCACCCAGGGGACAGACAGACACATCGTGCCGCCTTTTTTTCACTTGCTTTATTCCACGTGACACACACCCAGAGTCTGCAATCCCCCACCAAATCTCCAACACCAGCGACCCTCCCTTCCCCTCCACCACTGTGCAGGGGGACAAAAAACCGGCTGGAGTAAGCCCCTCAATAGGTGATCTGGTAGACCGAGGCGTGGTCCTGGGAGCCCGTGACAATCAGCCGGTTGTTAGAAGACACATCACAGCACAGGATGGAGGAGCTCTCAGGGACCTGGCAGGGCGTGGGTCAGAGTGAGCCAGTTTGGGGACACCCCAGGGTCATGCTAGGGCTCAGATTTGCAGCACCCCCTGCCCCGTACAGCCCCCTGCTGTACCTCGAGGACCCTTACTCCTGTGGGCGTACTGTGGACGGTGACCAGGCTGTCCATCCCGACGCTCACCCACCACTGGCCTGGGAGGAAGCAGAGGGGCACCGGTCACACAAGCCCAGCCCCTCCTCTCTCCCTGTCCCTAGTCCCACTGCAAGATCACTCATGGCTTCCGGCAGTGGGGCAGGGAAGGGCCCCACGGGAGGGCTGTCAGGGGACACACTCACCGTATGGGGAGAACTTGAGTCCGAGGACGGTGTGATCTTTACTCCCCACCATGCGTGCCTGGCCCCCCGTGGTGGGCTGCAGCCAGTGCTGGCCGTTGGCCAGGCCCAGCAACATCCAGTCTTCCTGGGGACTATGGGACAGGCTCATGATCTGGGAAGGGAAGGGAAGGGAAGGGAAGGGAGGGGACAGGTGGCAGAAGGAAGAGAGATGAGACCTCAGCTTGGCTGGCAGCCCAGCCTTTGAACTCACAATCCTCCTGCCTCATCCTCCCCAGGGCTGGGATTACAGGCGTGCCTCACCACATCCAGCTGGCAGAACGTCCAGTGACCCCTACTTGGAACACCCCACCCTGAGTCCACCCCACCCTGTCCTATGATGGCCAGCAGCTGCCCAGCCAAGCAAGCCCCACTGCAGCCTCCACACCTGAGACTCAAATGTGTACTCCAGGGGCTCCCGGGCTGTCCGCAGGTCCCAGCCCCGCAGACAGGCGTCCAGACCCCCAGTCCAGATGGTTTGGTCTTTGATCATGATGCTCTTGGCACCATCCAGGTGTCCAGAGATGTCCCTGGTGGGAGGAGACAGTGGGAGGTCAGCTGAGGCACCAAGGGATAGCCTCACTACCACAAAGTCACCCCCTCATGAGGGTCAGATATCAAAGCTTCCCCCTCAGGCCTCGTCCTCCCCTTTCCATACACCTTTGGCCATGAAGGGCCTCCAGGAACCTCACCTGAGCCCCTGAGCCTCAGTCTACTCATGCTGCCGAGTGGGTCTATCAGTCAGGGGGACGTGGCATTTCTGAGTAGCCACATAGAAGCATTTTGGTCGATGACAGATCAAATATGATTTTGTAAGGTTAACAGACCTGAAAAACTAGCACCCAGTACCACCAGGCAAGAATAGCACGACTTGTTCCTCACGTGCTGGGCAACATGGGCATGGCACTGCCAGTCGGGTGAATAAAGTCAGCCTTGTGCCTGGTGTGCAGGTTTGGGCAAACCTGGTCTATGCTGTGTGCACACAATTGGCTAAAGATGAATTTCTCACAAGGAATCCCCCATTAATCGATGCACCTTTCATGATTTTGCCCTTTTAAAAATCCTCACTGAGTGGGGCACTAATGGCTGACGCCTGTAATCCTAGCTAGTTGGGAGGCAGATTGGGAGGATTATGGTTTGAGGCTAACCTGGGAAAAATTACCAAAGGAAAATGGACTGGAGGTGTGACTCTAGTACTCAAGTGGTAGAGAGCCTGCTCTGGAAGAATAAAGCCCCGAGTTCAAACCCCAGTCCCACCAAAAAAAAAAAAAAAAAAGTCCTTGGTCTGGGGCTATCACACCCTGTCAAGATGGGGAAACTGAGGCAGACCAAAAGTAAGGTTATTTCTTACAGCAAGGAAGAAATAACCCAGCCAAGATTAGGATTCATCTTTGAGGTTCTCAAATCCGAGTTCAGAGTCTGTGTGGCTTTGACAGGGGCTCAGATGGGGGTGGGGATGTGCACATGGAGGCTCACCCGACTAGAATCCAGACCCTGCCCACCCGAGCCGCACCTGACCACGCTGCAATCCCGTAGGTCCCAGATCCTGACGGTCCCGTCGGTAAAGCCACCCAAGGCCAAGTTCTCGTCCACTTTGGCGGCCAGCGCCTGGCAGGAGAGACCCTCGCAGGGCAGCTCGTCCTTCACGTACAGGGAGGGCGCAGACAGGTCCCACACGCTCACGCTGGCCATGTTATGGCCACCTGCCAGCAGGGTCCTGTCGTCGGAGGTCAGCAAGCAGGAGCGCAGGTAGGCCCCGCAGGTCTGGCGTGGCAGAGTCACGGTGAGCAAGGGACAGGGTGTACCTCCCCCCACAGGTGGCGCTCCCGCCTGTCCTCACCTGTATGCGTGGCAGCAGGTGGCTGTCGGGGAGCCTGTCCTCAGCCACCTGGCTAACCAGGCTCCACACCTTGATGCCCACCTTGCCGCAGGTGAACGCGTGACGCGTGAAGCTGCTCACCGCGGTGGCCAGCACCGTCTCTCCGTGTATCAGCACACGCATCTTTTGCAGCTTGCGTGGGACGGCAAACCTTTTGGCCTCCCAGGGTGCGGTGTCCAGCCTATTTGATGCGTCTAACTCTTCAAATTCCTCAGGGTCCCAGGATCTAAAGAGGAAAGGGCTTGGGGTACGCAGTCTCCTTTGCCCGGTCCCAAAGCGTTCTCATTCCTTCCCAGATGTCGGGGCCCTCTTCTTAGGCCTTGCTTCCCCCGACCACCTACCCAGCAGCCTACCCACACTCCTCCTGTGTTCCCTCTGCCACAACTATACACTTCTCCCCTGTACCTGGAACAAGCAAACTCCTATTCATCCTTTAGGGTCCTCACTATTATGCCCCTTTCTCCAGGAAGTCTCCTCCAACCTGGTCTTTCACAGACCACAAGATTGGGACTATCTACCACTGTCCCCTTCCTTGGAAATTCCTTCCCAATCCCTTGAATGTTCCTTGCAAAACCAGTTCCAGGTTCAAGTGGCAGTTCAAGTGGCATGTTTCTACTCAGACCCTGCAGCTTAGGTGAGACTGGGCAGAGGGACAACAGGTGTGCCCTGCCACCCTCCTCTGAGGCAAACAGCCAGCAGACCACTCACAGGAGAGTCAGGAATGAAAAGGCACCTCGGGCGGGCTCCTGTGAGGGAGAAGAGAGCTTAGCTTCCCTGTGTCATCCTGAAGCCCCCTCCATCCCACCCTGCAGCCTGTGTGGGCAGGTGGCACTCACCTGGTCCTCACAGGGCTGAGCATCATCTTTTTCTTGGGAAGCCTCAAGCTGGGTGGGCTCATCCAGGATGGCGGCTGGTTGTGGAAAACAGGCTGAGCAACACGAGCTTGGAGAGCAAGGGCTGTGCGCCCCCCATCCTTCCCTCCCGGGGTCCCCCAATCCCTTCGGAATTACTCATGGGTTCACAGTTGTCATCTTCTGCGCACAGCTCCGGTTCTGAGTCGCCCAGCTCTAGGTCCAAGCTTTCCTGTCCAAGGGAAATAAGACACTGTGATTGGGCCTGTTCATCTGCCCAGGGTCTCAGAACCAGGAAACCCCAGGTGTGGCCGGGCAGCCCCCCAGCTGCAGAAAGCAGAAGTCTGCAGGCCCAGGGCTGCAGAGACCCAGTGCCTCCAACCTAGCCCAATGCTCCAGGGGGTCCCAGGGACAAGGGCAAGGGCAAGGGGGCTGGGGAAGGGGTGTGCTCAGACTGCACAGTCAGGACAACCCTGGAGCCTCCTGGGTCCCGGCAACCGTGTTTACTCACCAGGCCCAACACAGGCTCTGTCACTATGACAACGGGCGAGGGAGGAAGATGGAGAGAGAACAGGGTTTGTGAGCCGCCCCTGGACACAGCCTCTGCTGTCCCCGGCCCCCTCCCTAAGGGACACTTACTTTCCTGCTTCTCTTCCTGATCATGAACCCCGGTAAAAGTCTGCCACAGATGATGGGTAAGAACATCTTCCCAAAACTCAGGCTTGCAGTCCCAGCCCAGTGGCAGGTCGTCCGCCTCCGGGGTCCACAGCAGCCCGCTAGTCGGCTCGTCTACACACTCCAGCAGGTCTTCTGGAGGCTGGGGGGTGTCGGGATCCTGCTGGGTTTCTTCTTTCTCGAGTGGGAACTGGACTACCTGGGGCTGCAGTCACAGGGTGAGACCCCGGAGCAGACCCTTCCCCGAGCTGAGCCCCTCCCCTCCCGCCTGGAGGACCTGGAGCTCACCTCCATGGTTGGGGTGTACAGGAGTTGGCTGCAACTCTCTATCAGCTGGAAGAAGTTTGCTACCTGGGGGAGGTTGGCCAAGCAAGTCACATCTTGACACAGTAACCCACAGCCAGCCAGCTTCCCCACTGTAAAGCAGACACATTGACGAAAAGCATTTTTTTTTTTTTTTTTTTTGGCAGTAGCAAGGTTTGAACTTGGGGCCTTATACTTACAAGGCAGGCTCTCTACTGCTTGAGCCATTCTACTAGAACTTTTGCTTAGCTCGCTTTAGGGATAATGGTCTCACATCTATGCCTAGGCAACCTGGAGGGCGACCCTTCTATTTCTACTTCCCTATTATACTTCCCTGGGATGACAGATGTCGCCACACCAGAGATAGGGTCCTGTGAACTACTTGCCCAGGCTGGTCTTGAACCAATCCTCTTGATCTCCACCACTCAAGTAGCTGGAATTACAGGTGTGAGTTACTGTGGCCGGTCAAAATTAACACCCTACCTGTCATAGAGTGGATCTGTTCACATCCCAGGATGACACTGCTCTTTGCTTTAAAGGGCTTCCAGAAGCAAAACCGAACATAGTAGACCCTCGGTATGGGAGGGCGTGTGGTTCCAAGGAGACCCCCATGAGAAAAAACAGCGCAAGCTCATCTTGCAGTTTAGTGTTTGTCTGTAGACATTGGATTCATCTGTCCCATACAGCAATCCTTAATCTCCAGTTCTCACTTGGTCACTGAAATTAAGCACATTAGGTGCCCTCTGGGGCTTAGGAGGATCCTAACTTTCACCCTGATCTTTGGGAGGATTTTTCACAAAACTCAGCAGCTCACACACCAACCATAACGTGGGACCCAGTGACAGCTTCTGCACATCCACTGAGCTGCGTCATACGTCCATGGGAATTTTTGACCTTTCTTGATGGCACTGGGATTTGAACTCAGGGCCTCATGCTTGCTAGGCAGGCATGAGCCTGCCTCTTGAGCCATTCTGGCGGGCCTTGATTTCTGATTTATTGTTTTTTGACTATGTTTGGTCAAAACTGTGCAAAATTGATTAGGCAGGCTCACTGTGCACAGTGAGCGCTCTTCATCCATGGCTGGCAGATAGGTGGAAAAAAACTGACTAATCGTTGCATCTCCCCAAACAATGCAGTACAGCAAGCGCGTTCACAGGATTTACACCTCATTAAGTGTTCTGAGCCATCTAGAGATGGCGTCAAGTCTAGAGAACAGTAAATAAAAATATAACATCTGCCAGGCGGGGGTGTGTGTGGATTCTAAGATCTATCACGTGAGAAGGGCTCAAGCACCCTGGGTGTTCCCCTCTGGGGCTGTGGGAGGTCTCTGAGCACATCCTTGGCCGATATGGAGGGGATAACTATTTTGATTTTAAAAATCAAGCCATTGACTGGAGGCGTGGCTCAAGTGATAGAGCACCTGCTTTGCAAGCACAAAGCCCCGAGTTGAAACCTCACTCCCACAAAAAAGAAAAAAAGAAAAAAAAAAAAAACAAGCCACATGGCCAGGCTCTAAGTTGTAACAGAGCTTATCTAGCATGTGAGAAGCCCCAGGGCTCATCCCCAGCACTGCAAAAATAAAATACAGCCGGGCGCCAGTGACTCACGCCTGTAATCCTAGCTACTCAGGAGGCAGACATCAGGAGGATCAAGGTTTGAAGTCAGCCCTGGCAAATGGTTCAGGCCTTATTTGGAAAATCCCCAACACAAAACAGGGCTGGGTAGGGTGGCTCAGGTTCGAGGCCCCGAGTTCAAACCCCAGTGCTGCCAAAAAATAAAACAGCCTCAGAGCAAACAGTGCAATCTAAACCAGGGTACCCGAGTGCCACTGTAGCTCATCGTTCTAGTGTAAATTAATCGGTGCCACTCATTATAAATATGTTTACCTTAGGGCCAGGGCAGTGGCTCAAGTAGTAGAGTACCTGCCTAGCAAGCAGGAGGTCAAGTTCAAACTCCAGTGCCACCAATATATACAGACACACACATACTGTACCCTAACCCAATGTCTACCATTTCCACCGACTGAGTGGCCATACCTCCAATGCCAGTACTGGGCAGGCTGAAGATCAAGTTCTGGTTACATAGCAGAAAACCAGAACAAAAACCCAGAAGAGCGCAGCCATGAGCTAACTGACAAACATGCAGCCTAAGGGCCACCTGGCATGCCCATGGCCTCGGGCTAAAGCCCCAGCACTGAAAAAATCAAAAACAAGAGGCCACGTGACCACTCTGGATCCAAATCTTGTGTTTGCCAGGTTCAGTGGCAGAGGCTTGTCTAGCTCGCTCTAGGTCCTGGGTTCCTCCGCGCCCCTCCCCACCCAAGCATCTGCCATTCTCGCTTTGCAGATAGGGAAACTGAGGCCCAGCACATCAAAGCCACTTCCCCAAAGTCAGGAGAAGAAAAGGAAGCCCGGAGGCAGTTAACCTGCCTGGATCCTCCCAGGCCTGCAGAAGCCCAGGGGAGCCCCCCCGCAGTTCACCCCGGCTCGTTAATGCGCAATTTCCTGGCACTCTAATGCGCTCAGCCTGAGTGAAAAGCGTGCCGGCCTGCCAGGCCTCCCTGGTGAGCAGCCCAGCCGCAGGGAGCAGGGCCTGGGCCCTGGGGGACTTTAAAAGCTGGGCTGCGGGATCACTGGCCAGGAACCGAGGGTCTCCCGCGTGGGCAGCACGCCCCGATTTCCCTCCAGCTGCAAGCAGTCCTGTCCCGAAACAAGTCCACAATTCCATCACGTCTTAACTGGCTAGCACCCCGCACCTGCAGCCAGTTAACTGGTGGTGCCTGACTACTGCCTTCATCCCTCCTGTCTGCCTGCCCCACAGCACCCAAAGGGGCGCCTATGAGCACCCAGCCAGGTGCCCCTTCTGCCTACAACCTTCCATGACTCCCACCTCCCTCAGATAAAAATCTTAGCTTTTCAAACACACACCCGCCCATACCCAGAGGCTCTGCCTTCTCTCTGCTCCAGCCACACACACCAGGCTCTGTACTGCCTCAGGGCTTTTGCATGTGCCATGCCCTCTGCCTGAAAATGGCCTCATCCCAGACATCCACCTCCTGGCTCTGATTGAATGCCACCTTCTCAGCAGCTGTCCAGGGCCCACCCTAAACTGCAACCCATGGCCACCATGATCCCCACCCCACCCCCTTCTGCTGCTCAGTTCTAGCCCCTGTACCTTGCCTGCCCTATTGCCTAACACACCCCACTCACCAGGCCCCCTCACCCCAAGGTCACTGTGTTCTTTTTTGCTATTTCCCTGGCATCCCCAACAGTTTCTGGTGGGCAGGTGACGGATGAATATGTGTTGAATGAGTAAGCTCCTTCTGGTGGCTTCCTGCCCCCCCCTCTTCCCGAGCTGCCCACCCCAGGCCCTGCTGAAGCTGCAGTCTGCAGCCCTGGCCTCCTGCCAGTTACATCTGGTCCAGGCAGAGCGTCCTGCCAGCTCCCTGAGAAAGGGGCCAGGTGGCCAGAGGACAGGCAGGGACTGAAGACCTTTGCATGGTAGCTTGGGCAGGTGCCCTGGACTGGCAGGTGGGCGCCTGCCCCCAGACCCCCTCGTGCCTACCCTCAGATAAGTGGAAGTCTGCAGCCCATCCATGTCTGAATCACTGACCTAGCAAAGATCACTCAGGCTACACTGGGAGCCTGTTTCCTGGAAGGGGCAGGAAAGATGAGAGACACCCCAAGAGAGGCAGATCCTGAACCAGATGCCAGTGGCTCACACCTGGAATTCTAGCTGCTCAGTAGGCAGAGATCAGAAGGATCGCAGTTCAAAACCAGTCCCAGTTCACGAGACCCTATCTCGAAAAACCCATCACAAAAAAAAAAGGGCTGGAGGAGTGATTCAAGCAGTGCCACCAAAAGAGAAAAAATAAAAAATGAACAAAAAAAATAATCTCCAGTGTCACGGCGGTGTCCGGGTTGGGTCTCTCCCTCCTCTGCCTACAACCCTCCATAGCTCCCACCTTCTCACGTAAAGTCCGAATCCTCTCTGCCACACACAAGGCCTTGTGTCCTCACATGCCCCCTCATTCTGGAACCCTTGTCACCCACCTGATTGTGATGATCTTGCAGCTGCTCCTGGACCTTCCTGAGCTGAAGCAACAGAAATCACAGGTATAGGCGAGGGTTTGGTTTGAATGCTGTGCTTCTCCGCTGTGTGACCCTGGGTAAGTGGCTTCGCCTCTCTGGTACTTACTCTTAAATAGGATCCAGCCCACCACAAAGAGCGCTAATTTGGGAGATGTTTTGGATTTCATTCTCAAGGTGAGGTTAAGGTCAGATCTTCCCTGAGGCCCACAAGGTCCTGCATGCCCTGCCCCCTCCTCCCTCCCCCTCTTGCTGTGATGTAATTGCTCCTCCAACACGGCCAGGCGCCGTCCTGCCTCAGGGCCTTTGCACAGGCTGTGCACTGTTCTCTCCAGGCGACAGTAACTCTGTCGTGTGTGTTTCACCCACAACATCATGTCATCCTAGAAGGCCTGCCCGTCAAACCCTTCTACGGCTTTTATCCCCTGATCTCGTCACTTCTGTTTTTTGCCTCTGTCATCCCCTTGGGGCTGAGATAGCCACAAGTCAAGTCTGGCTACTGACACTAGATTTTAAGAGATTCAGTTCCTTGGTGGCAACTGAAAAGGGTTTGGTGGCTGCTGGGTGTGCATTGGATGCTGTAGATAGAGAACATTCTGGAAAGTTCCAGAAGGTAGCACCACACTAGGGTGGCACAAGGGTTTAGCTCATCTGCCTTGAGCAACCAACTGTGGCCCTGAGGAAGAAGAGAAGAAATGCCTACTTGAAGTTGGAATTCCTAATATTTGTAGCAAGGTATTAATTTAAAAAAAAATGCAAAACTCCCACAAGGTAGTTAATGGGCTGAGTTAATTTCAAAAAGTGAAAAAAATTAAGTGTGGGGGGAGTGTCTGTCCCCAAACCTGACTCCTGAATTAAGAGGCAGCCCTTCTGAGGTGTGAAGCAGGGCAGAGGGACCAGTTTGCAACTTGTCACAGCTGTCCCCCTGGGTAGGGGCTGCCTCTGAGGTCCAGCTCACCAGGTAGTGGATGCTGTCCAGCTGTGTGGTCATTTGAGGGGGGAGCCTGGGGTGGTGGGGGGGGGAACAAGCAGTTAACACCCTGCCCCAAAGAGAGGCCCCTTCCTCCACCCTTCACCTAAGGGCAGGGCCCAACTGGGATGAGCCACCTGCCCCTTCCAGGGAGCCAAACAGGAGGTGTCACAGGCTCCTATACCTCAATTTTGAGACAGGTGTGGTGGCTCACACCTGTAGTCCTAGCTACTTGGGAGGCTGACATCCAGAGGATTGAGATTCAAGACCACCCTGGACAAATAGTTCAAGAGATGCCATCTTCAAAATAACCAGAGCAAAAATGGTCTGGAGGCGTGGCAAGCACCAGAGCACCTGCTCTGCAAGTGTGAAGCCCTGAGTTCAAACCCCAGTCCCACCAGGACTTTTCTTTTTTGAGATATGTAGTCCCTGCTGGTCTGGAGCTTAGGATTCCCCTGGCTCTTGGCATCCCCAGTGCTGGGATGACAGGTGTCGCAATGTCCAGCTAGGATTTTCAAGTGGTGCTTGGGATGACCCAGGGTCTACCCGGGCCCCACCCCAGCCCTAATGCAGTACTTTCGAAAAATCAAATGGATTGCAACCAGCTTCACTTGGAAGGGAAAAAAAAAAAAATGATTTGCAATAAAAGCAAGGGTGGGGGTTACTGGGTCCTTCGGTTTCAGGCTCTCTAGGGTGCCCGGGGCTGGGCAGATCTTTTGGACCAGGGCCCCCAGACAAGGGATGGGACTCAGCAGGCCCTGGACCCGTCCTCACCTGGGAAAGTGGTCCTTGAGCTGATCCAGGGTATGCTGATACCTGGGAGCCGGAGGCGTGGAGTTAGAAATCTCCGGATGAGGCTGGAAGTCAAAGGAGGGGGTAATAACACCCACAGCCCCCTCCCAAACACCCCCAAGGGCAGGGCGCCCTCCTCTAGGACCCACCTGCCCTAAAGCCTGCGGCTCAGAGTGACCCAGGGTGGGGCTTGCTACAACCAGAAGCCAGTTTTCCTTCTCTTGTTATGTAAGGATGCATGTTCCCTCTGAGACCACTTTCGAAGGCGTTTTATCATAGTGCATCGCAATAATCATTTGTTTTAGTCATTTCTCTGGCTCTCACTGTGTAGCCTGAACTTCTGATACTCCTGCCTCAGCCTCCAGAGTACTGGGATTACAGGCGGGTACCACTAAGCCCAGCTGGTTTTACTCTTAATGTAGCAAAACTTACAAATTAAACTTGTTCCCTTTTTTGTGGGGCTGGGGAAGGAACCCAGGGCCTTGTGCATGCTAGGCAAGCGCTCACCACTGAGCTGTACCCCCAGGACTGTAAATTAAACTTCATCATATCCTTGAACTATTAATGTGTGTTAATAAAAATAGAGGAAAAACGCCTTTATCTTAGGTTCTGAGGTATGGGAAAATCATTACAGGGTCTGGCACTATCTGTAGTTTCAGTCCCTACTCCCTGAGGATGGGGGTGGGTGGGAGAACTGAACCCAGGGAGTATCTTCTATTTTGCAGCCTGGCTTAAAATGTAAAATATTTCCCATGTGGTCTTTTATAGAAAGTTTCCCCACCCTTGTCTCTGGAAGAGGGTGACTCGTAAAATATTAATGGAATAGGGGACGTGTTCCTCTATTTTATCACCTGTGTTTGAAAGTGAGCTTCATTAAAAAAACAAAACAAAACAGCACGGGAGTGGCACCTGTCCTTATGCAGTGATGGGTTATTGCCACCAGCTGCACAGCAAGGCCACTGTCACAGGTGTGCCCAAAACAGCCATGG